ATAAATATTTTTTCATTTTTTTGAATTCAAGTACAAATATTTAATTTTCCCTTCGTAATAATTTACAATTTTCAATTTAGTACTGATTTTACATAATCTTCTTTCTGAAAAGGACATTACCTAAAATTCTTAAGAAACATTAGTAATAATGTAAAATATACATGATATTTCAATCTTGCTCATACAGAGTGCTCTAGTAATTATAGTTCAATCAGCAAATTATATATTAATAACTTTAGATGTTTCTGTAGTCTGTATAGAATATTGAATGATAATTTTATAATCAACAATAAAATAATTGGTTATACTTATTAGAGATTCAAAGTAGTACAACGTATTAGATAAATACATCAAAAAATATATATTTCACGATGAACGCATTTTTAATTTCCTCCATGTTTCTCATTGAGTACTAATCTTTCAGGCCTTTGGTAAACACCCAAAGGTTTAAAAATATAAAATAAAATGTTTTCCTTTTGACTATATGGGCGATATTTTTGAATCTTGAAAAGAATTTCATGAAACGAAATTGAATAATTTCAATGGCGCATGATTTTACATCAAATCAAAATTCCATTTTTTAATAATCATCTTCTTAAATGGAATTCGTAAACTTTTATATACGTACAGAGTGGGATCTCGATTATAAATTAACTTCCAACTTGATCGGTATATTAGAATCTCGATTAACCGAATTATCGCGATTATCTGCCATTTTGATTAAACGAGATTTTGGTTATGGATAGTTTCGTTGATTGGAGTCTTAATTATCTGATCGTTAATAAAAGTCACATTGTACTAATGAATGCCACACTTTATTGTCTATAAAAAAGATATTAAGATATCTAAATTAAAAGTTGCTTGATTTAATTTAATATAATCATTACCCGCGTTTTCTTCAATTGTATGTATACCACGAAAATCAGTATTCGTCGAAGTATAGATATATATGTAGTTGTTGGATGATCAACCCGGACAATATTGAATCTATGCAAATACTGACAATGAACTAGCAACAGTTCACATAAAAGTGAATAGTTAGTCATAAGGGCAAGATCCAATAGTTAGTCATCTATGCTCCTTCTCCTTCCACTTGACGATGATAACCAAATATATATAAGGACATGCTTTAGAGACATTCCACAGCATTAGACATTCATCATATTCTAAGACATTCTAAATCATTGTAAATCATTCTATGTCATTCTATTTCATACACGACCACGACTGTAAGGGAATAAACTCTTCTAAATTGTAAGCGTGTTGACCCCGTTACACGGAATCCAACATAGTATGTCAATTAGAATAGAAATATTACCAAAGAATGATTTCTCAGAGGGCTATATTACTTTCACTTTCGTTCGAGTTGTTAAAATGATTTATTTTCATGATATATGTGATCTTAAATATTACCAAAAAATTATTTTTCAGAGGACTATGTTACTCTCACTTTTGTTCAGGTCCCTAAAATGACTTGTTTTCGTATTAATACATTAAATTCAATTAAATTCAATTAAGTTTTTCTTTTGCCTTTAACATATACGTGTGTGTTAATTTATATATTTTTATATATTAATTATAATATAATATAAATTAATTATATATATAAATTATATGTTAATTTATATATATATATATATAATATAGACTCTTATTCGTTTAATAACATTCTAAGCAATGGTCTAGAATAATTTACTGTTATAGTATCGATGATAATTCCAAAAAAGAAGAATTGCTGTTTGTTAAAGCCCAAAGTCACGACGTGCATGTGGCCTTAAGCGAAGCTCATACTAGGAAGGTTAGAAGGGACTCGATGATGGATCGATGGATGCGTGACTCTGCCTACGATGTGGAGCACGCAACCCAGACGTGGTTGCAGAGGGTTTGCAAGAGAGGGCGAGATGGAAGTAAAGGGGAGAGGAGAGCGTGAATCTCTTTGCTCGGGGATGTCGCTATTCCAATGTCGCGAGTTCTCATCCGTGCAATTCCCGTGCACATTTCTCTCTCGTTCGTGAGCTTGATTTGATATATAATTTATTCAAACATAAACGGGCGAAAACATCCCCTATCCAAATGTTAACAAAACATTTATTAATAATAAATTCCTTTTCTTGCACTAAATTATTTTATATGTATTTTATGTTACATATGCGTTCTACGATTTTTTATAATTGCCAAAATCTGGAGACGCGAAATTTCGCTGAAAGAAAGAAATATCCTGAGACTATCACCGACGCGACGTCGTTTTTTTTTTTTTGGAATTTACATAAAGAAACAGAAATCAATATCTTTTTATATTCGTCTGGGAGTTACTGCATTTGATTCCGCGGTGAAGTCAGCGTTTCATCCATAAGTGACGAAAATGTCATAGACATGGTTTTTCCACAAACTGAAATCGAGTGAATGAAAATGTTGAGAATCTGTCTTGTTGCGTTGAAACATTCGAGGCATTTGAAATACTTACTACTTGGAAATTGGGAAATTCAGTAAGAATTGAAAGAAAGAAAAATATAGCATTCCTAAAGAGCTCACAATTTTTTCTTGATTTCTATTTGGGTATGTGTAATTTAATACGAATAAGGTGGAAACTTTTACGTTCCTATTAGGATATAAGAGGCTCTACGCAAGTAATTTTGTTCCCCTCGTTTTCATCTCTTCGAACGACGATGGAAAAATGTCATTTGTATCACTATATATACATACATGGCACGCGTGGCCATTCATATTCATCACTTTCTCGTGAAACTGGTTATATATCCATTTGAAGGAAAATATACATTACAGTTCCATTTAAGAAAAACTTATCGGCTTGTCTTAATTAACAACTTATTAATTTATGAACAATTGGATTAAGATTTGTAATATCCGCCATAAGATATCCTACCATAGTAAGTTTTGTTCAGAAAATTTTTTTCTATAACAAATAGTTTAGGAGATTACTACGTGGGACGTTTCAAATAACATACGATATAATATAATATAATATTCTATATCGCAGAAAAAATGATAATATAAAGAAAATTCATCATTGTTGTAAACAAGAAAAAGAATATGCAATGCAATGCAATAGAGGTTCACTTTAGCTAAAATGGGTACAAACCATTTTAATCTCTAGAGTAAGCTTCTTTGCGCGAGATTGGAGTAAAAGCAGATCAAGAAATTCTCCGCGCAAAGTTATTCGCCAAGTGTTCCCTCGGAGTACATACTTTGGAAATTGAGGTAAACAGAACGTCGAGGGAAACGGAAGCCGTAGGAAACAAGTAGGCGTCGAGTAACAAAGGTGAAGTACAAGATTAGCAGAGAGACGCATAATCGCAAGAGGAAGCATTGAAACGTATATTGAAATGATTAACGTGTCCCTCTATTCAGCGCTGATTCTATACATTCTCCATTTTTTTGTTTCTGTAACGTACATACTTTTTTAATAGTCTGAAAGCTATAACACCAAATGGCGGACGAATTTATTACATCACCTAATATCGGGGAAAATTTATTTTAAGCATAAATAGTTGAGCATCGATCGAGTGCTTTGGCGTTTGAAATTCAAAAATATGGGACCACTTTGAACCCAAAGGTACAGCGATTGAAAAAATGAATGTCAATCGTAAAAGGATACTTAACGAAGCTTTGAAAAACGTTCTTCTCGAAAGTACCATCGAACCAAAAAAAAGTATAGCAATTTTTAACTAATCGAGAGATTCGTATGCAAGATCGTACAAAGAGAAGAAGGAAAAAGGAAAAAGGAAGAGAAAGATGGAGCGAGAGAATAGAAGGTATGACCACTTTTTTTGACCTATGAATCCAAAGATAGAGCGATTGAGAAAATGATTGTCAATCGTAAAAGGATAACTTAACGAAGCTCTCAAAAACCTTCTTCTCGAAAGTACCATCGGACCAAAAATATAGCAATTTTTAACTAATCGAGAGATTCGAGTGCAAAATCGTGCAAAGAGAAGAAGGAAAAAGGAGAAAGGAAGAGAAAGACGGAGCGAGAGAATAGAAGGTATGACCACTTTTTTTGACCTATGAATCCAAAGGTAGAGCGATTGAGAAAATGATTGTCAATCGTAAAAGGATAACTTAACGAAGCTCTCAAAAACCTTCTTCTCGAAAGTACCATCGGACCAAAAATATAGCAATTTTTAACTAATCGAGAGATTCGAGTGCAAAATCGTGCAAAGAGAAGAAGGAAAAAGGAAAAAGGAAGAGAAAGATGGAACGAGAGAATAGAAGGTATGACCACATTTTTTTAACCTATGAATCCAAAGGTAGAGCGATTGAGGAAATGAATGTCAATCGTAAAAGGATACTTAACGAAGCTCTCAAAAACCTTCTTCTCGAAAGTACCATCGGACCAAAAATATAGCAATTTTTAACTAATCGAGAGATTCGAGTGCAAAATCGTGCAAAGAGAGGGAGAGGAAGGAAAAAGGAAAAAGGAAGAGAAGGAAAGAAAGAGTAGGGATGGAGAAGAAGGAAGGAGAAAGAGAAACACAGAGAGAGAGAGAGAGAGAGAGGTATAACGAGGGCGAGAGAGGAGGTAGGAGAGCGAAAGGAGAGCAAACGAGGGTGTTGGTTGCGAGTCGATAAACCACGGGAAACGCGAGCACCCTTGCGCACGGCTTCAACATGGCGGCCGGTGAGTCCCATTCCCCTTGTCCTTAGATCTCTCGGCCAGCCCCAGAGGGAAGAAACAAGCGTCGTTGCGAGATTCGATCGCGCATTCGTTCTTTCCTTTCTCTTGGGTGGGCGCTTCCTCGACTCGATCAAGCGAGAGAAAAGGAAAATAGGAAATGATCCCGCGGGATCGACGAGCGTCGTGATTCGTGGTGGCCACGCGGCGGCGGCGACGCGCGCGCTCGTGTGCGTGTGCGTGTGCGCGTGTATTACGTGTGCATTACGTGTGTTTTATCATGCAAAGGCAGAGAGAGAGAGAGAGAATCCTTTCCAATCAACCTGATTAACCAATCAAAGTTCCACTTTGCACCGTGTGCTTTCAGACGAGGGCTCGATATGCGGCTGAAGGAAGCTATCGTCTCGGTACCGCCGCATCCTGGGGGATTGAACAACAAGTAAGTAAGCCGATATACGAATTCCTCGAGTCGAGACCCAGGTCGCTCGATGCCTGCCTGTCGTTCATCTTTGTTCAGTCTCGTCTCGTCTCGTCTCATTGTCGTCATCTCCGAGTCATTTTCGTTCACCTTCGAGCGTTTCTTTTTCTTTTTCTTCTTCTTCTTCTTCTTCTTCTTCTTCTTCTTCTTTTTCTTTACGAGAACGATAAAAGGAGTAACGGTGATGTTCTTTGTTTCAATTGGACATTTATTTCGATGACACGAACGACGTGGTTTCTCTGCGACCTTTTTACCCGTTGATTACTAGATTAATGTTTACGTTTCGTTGGTTTATCAATCTTTTCTCCGAAATGAACTTTTTCAGTTGGGTGAATTTCCCGTCTGGCGGTTTTTTTTCCCCCAATTTTGGCTGTTTCGCTGGTTTGTAGGTTTTTTAATACAACGTTTCTTGTTTTTTTTTTTTCTTTTTTTCTTTTTTTCAAGTAACAAGAACTGTATAACTGTATAACTGTATGACCGATCTCCACGAGGTCTTATTAAAGAGACGAAATAGCGAAACAGCGAAAATTGAGAAAAGCCGGTAAACTAGAGAGTTACCTTTATTTATTTTTTCAGTATTTTCATTCTATTGTATGGAGTTTGTTGCAAGTGGGAAGTGTTTCAAGAATTTCGCCTTTAAATACCTTTCGCCTGGTGGAGCGCTTAAATTAAAATTTAGCATTCGTAGACGAACGTCGCTGCTAACAACTGGCGTGTGATTAATTATTTTGTATTTTTGTTCTCGTCGTGTCCGAGAGGGACGTGGAACGTCGAACGCTGTGGGAGGGAAGAGAAACGTTAGACGAGTTACATTACGATAAAGTCGTTGTACGATAAATCATTTCAGTATTGCAGTATTTGTTTAACATGCACATCGATCGATCACGTTTTCGTTTCGAAAGCATATGTAGCTTCTTCTCTCCCTGTCATCCGAGTGATAATTAGAGTAGCTCTATACATATACATATACATATATCTATATACGTATAATAACTTGCTTCGTAGAGTTAGCGATTAATCCACAGCTTTAATTAATCGCGGTAGCCTTCACCCGCTCTAGCAACCGAGTAGCTATAAATAATACTTAAACTAGTGTGTAAATTGTAGAATATTTATTCCGTACCTTATTATTAGCAATGCCAAGGCATTTAACTGAAAAGGAAAAACCATAAGGTTAGTGTTGACTCTAAACGGTCCCCTTTTCATACACAGTTTATCAGTATATATACGTTTATATTACTCGTTCTTTCGTACTACTCATTCGTATTATTTCTCTTCCTATGTTTTCTTTTCTTTCCCCGTTTTCATTCACGCATTCCAAGTTGATCGTGCTTCTTATGACGCTGGCCAGAAAGCGGAACGAAGTTTGAAGCAACCATCTCGTTTAGATTCTGATTTATTGTTGTTCTCATTTGTAAATATTTGACCGTTTGCCAAACTTGTCAAACAATGCAAAAAAAAAAAAAAAACGTACACAGAACATGGAACACACACGTATTTATTCAACTGACACTCAACAAGTGATTATGTCGCATGGATTTTTTTTTTTTGCAACTATTGCTCCTCGAGACACGAGTTTTTTTTTTTTTTTTTTTTAAGGAACAATCGTCATTGCGCGTGTCTTGTTAACGAGCATCATTTTCAGCGTTTCTTTTTAACCACTTAACGACACGCCTCGAATCAACTCGTCGTCAATTTTGTGCGAAATGTTCTTGTACGAGTTGAATTTATACTCACGCGCCGTTATAGTCAGTGCAGTTTCTATTACCAACTGTGGTCCGATTTGAGTTCAACTGATGATTATTTAAATTAAATTATTGTCAAATATATATACGATAGAACGTCGACCCAAACCTGTTTGGATAAGCGATTTTTTGTTGACAAATTTGTCAACAAGTCAAAATCCAAATATCAAACGATTTCCAGATAAACGTGAAAGAAATCGTGCAAATTTTAAGACGGTGGTGAATTTAATTGTGAAGAAATTTTATCTAGTATCCATAAGGATGTTTCAATTTGCAAGGTTTTTAAAAGAGAAAGTATCTTTGTTTAATTTCATCTCTTTTAGAATGGCGTAGAAACATCTTTGGAAGGAACGGACGTAAATATTCTGAAAGCAAAAGTTTTGAAACGAGTGTCAGGAATAATGACGATAATTTTTCATAATAAAATGTGAAAATTCCAAGTCCGAATGGAAAAATTGTTTTTCTCTATCATGTTTTGCTGTATGTAGATCGATAATTTAAAAAAAAAGAAAAACAGGTTGTAATGTAAATTGGTCTTTAAGTGGTTAATATTCTCCCATGTTACGTTACACTAGCGATCGTACACACCCTTAGCGAACGATTACATGGAGTTGTTTGGTAATTTTTTTCTTTCCTTAGTATGGTGTGTTATTTTCATTAGATAGAGTTTGCTTCGCATAGATCTACAATCTACACTATTTCTCTTGGTATTCGAGAACATTGCCGTCGTTCAGCTGCGTGCACGAAATCCAGAGCTGGGTAAAATACTGTTTAAAAAAGTAAACAGCAAATAATCTCACTTATTATATTACACGTATGTACGTGTAACACTTTGAAGATAAAATATTTAATTTGACGCAGTGAAGCTTTGAAACAATATTTGAGAATGATTTATTCGTTTGAAAGGTATTGAATTATTTGGATATTTTGTTTCGAAATATTTCATTTATTTTCATTTATTTATCTTCGTTTCAGATGATATCAGGTGAAAATGATGACATGCATCGATACATTTGTGAAACATAGTTGTACAAATAATTTCCTAATCTCCCGTTATTATACTGTTATCATCGAAAATTATCGCACAACTGGTTGGATAGTTTTTCTATATGCAAAAATAAAGCAAAAGAGAACACGATACAGCATATGCCTGTTAAATCATGTAATAAGTATAAAATATTAAATCATTCCACAAGTGTTACAGTTTTTCAGAGTTTTGAAACAAAACTAAAGAGCAAAAAAAAAAAAAAAAAAAGAATATACTTTTTTACCACTGTTATTTACAACTTGCTTTTACCTTAATTTTTCTCAGATATTCTCGACGATAGAAATTCTAAAGTTTACGTGAAAGAACGAATCGAAGAAACCGCATTATTTATATAGGGATTAAAATATTTTATTTTACGTTTCAGATCATTAAGTGAAAAATATTTCTCGCCTGAAATACTATTTCATTTAAGCCAAACGAAATCCAAGATGTTAAAATATTGATATTTACTTAGGAAAATGCATTACCCAGCTCTGACTAAAATTGTACGAGTATTTATTATATATATTGGACGCGCGACACGAGAACACACAGACCGCAATGACATTTTTCAGTGTTTTAACAACGAATGTTTGAACCATCACATTTGTCTGTGTCTTGACAATTTTGACGATCCTGGCGATGAATTTGCACATTAATGCACCAACGAGTTTTCTCGGTCGTTTCGATCGTCGGATTCAGTGGCAGCGAGCTTGAACGATTGTTCTGGATTGTTTCAAATCGACAGTTTAACGATGTCGCCTGTTGTTTCATTTATTAGAGATATTTTGTTTCTTTTTTGCACTGGTACTGGTAGACACATGTTTGTACATACTTGTTGTATTAGCCTCTTTCACGAAAATCAAGTTTTCTTCTCAAAACAAAAGAAAGGAAAGGTGGCGAGAGACGTAAATTTTGAAACTTGAAACCTCTGTTGGTTAATTTTATTAACCTCTTGTTTTATAGCATCGAGTCGCACTTGTGGTACAAGTTGTGGTTTCGGTTTGGAAGGAAAAAACAAACTTCACTAGAATTTTAAATTTAATTTCCTTGAATTAATAGTACTTTAATAAGTACAAATTATGAGTAAAATAAAATAATGTTACAATTGCAATAAATGCTCATCGTGAGGCAAAGAGTTGAAAAATTAAATTCTACACTGAAGAATAAAGCATTTGAGAATAAAAAGGACTGTACTTTGTTAGATGTACATACATGACACAAAATTATGCACTAAGAGTTATAAATATAATAAAAGTTTGTTTCTTACAGTTAGAGGTGTTTGTACAATTTTAAGAAATTTTAAGAAATTTGAGCGCAAAAATATGTAAAATTCAAGAAATGCAAGAAATCTAAACGGTGAAACAAGTCTCTATCTAAATTCCATTTTTATTTATATTTACGTTCATAAAAATTTGAATTTGTACAGCTTGTAATAAAACTTGTAATTTATAACGATTAAAAATTCATTACGTATATCGTTGAAAAAAAAATTCTAAATCTATCATTTGCACAGCCAAAGTGATTAACTCCGTCTTTTGAATTTTCCCGAAAAATTTTAACGTTTGATTTTATATTTAAAGTAATTTTTTTTTTTTTTAAATGCAAGTATCTTTAGTTGCGGAATAATAAATGATTGATTTCGAAAGCCAATGTGAATATTAGTCAAAGATGGTCAGTTTATCTCTATCAGCTTTGACGATATATATATATTCTGTAATAAACAATGTTTTAGAACGAGGAATTTTACGAACGAATGTATATTATTCCATTCGTTTCTCTATGTTTCATTTCGCAGAGTTAATCGATGATTTGAGTCGTTGAATATCAATTCGAAATTAGATGACAGCCAAATAGCCAAAATTAAATCAAAGTATGGTCAAAGAGAAGGAAGAAGATCCGAGTGGATCCAAGATCCGAGAGGATCGTTACGTTGGAGTTTAGTAAAGTAAACTAAAGACTGAATTAGTCGCTCGTAAATTTAATGATCGCAAAAATTCAAGACGGGCAACGGATACGAACGGGTGCTCTGTGTTGGTGAGAGCAGAGTGTGTCGGTGCGACTCGTATTCATCACGTTGCAGATGTTTTACGTATGTATGTAGGTGTGCAGCGCCTATATTCGCATCGTGAATATATCGTGATGTATGGTGCGGGCCGCGGCTAACGGTACGTATCGATCCATTTGGACTCATTTCTCTGTCTCGCTCACAGTCAGTTACGTAGAAGCGAGCAGAGCCAGCCGATCATCGAGGAGATCGAGAATCGCAACGAAATCTCGTCGACGACCGCCGATCCAATCGCCACCGGCCAAATCGGCACCGATTTCGTCGCGGAGGTTGCGCAGGAATTTCGTGTCGCCGAAGACACGTCCACGTGGTCCTCGCTCGCCATCACTCGCGACAACGTGCAAACCAACAGCTCGAACAACGAGACCGGCAACTTGAACAACAACCTGACGCTTCCGAGGATATGCAGGAACAGCTCTGTGGAAAGTCTGGCCGATTACGAAGGTAATTATTAGAGTTGACATTAATTATTCCACGTGTAAATGTGAATATTTTTACGTGGTAAACGAATCTAGTCGAGATCTCAGTTCGTGTAATTTTTAATACGAATTGGACTGGTATTTCAGCTGTCAGTCTGTTTACGTATGTTCTAGTGTTATATAGCGTTTCAAAGTCGAAACTTGAAATGTTAAACGACACTTTATGCAAGAAAGAATCTACAAGATACAAGTGCAATTTACAAGTTTTATCATCTACGATAAATTGTTGAATATTAAAAGTAAAAAAATGTCCCAAGAGTTTTGAGCGACAGTATAGTTTCGTCTTGTCTTTTTTCGACAATCGCTGGAAACAAAGAAATTAATCTATCTCGACCAAAGTGACAGTATAAACACAATGATGAAATATGTTCGGCGCAACATTTGAAGATCACGTCCAGAATCATATTAGAAATCATTCGCGTATAACGTTTGAGAATTCTTCAAACTAAAAGACGCATCGTCAATCGTTTTTCAGTATTTTCTTCGTGTTTTTTTCGTCAGTTTCGTCAAGTTAAGTTTATGCAAGTGTAAGGCACATTTCGTATTAGACAAACGCGTGCGCGTTGGACACACGCGCATCGGACGCATGCGCGTTAGACACACGCGCATCGGACGCATGCGCGTTAGACACATGCGCGTCGGACGCCTGCGCAGAGTGTTGAATGCGCCTGGTGCGTTCGAATCAAACGGAGCAATGTCCGTTCACCTTCTACTCGGACAAATTACACCAATGATATGCATATATATATTTAAGCACAAATTGTAGAATACGAAATGAGCATTTGTTCGTTTGGTGTAAAGTTTAGTCTAAACTTGGTCTAAACTGCACGACGCAAGTGCAGCATTTGAAAATCGCGTATAGAAAAGCATTAACGCGTTTCGTTTGGCGAAAAATTTTTCGATACACGCGTCGAAACTTATTATACACGCTGACACTTGCTTTTAGAGTCACACGATGCGATATAAATTAGCAGATGTCTCAATTATATAACGCAAACATTAATTGCCATGTACACACGTGTATTTCAGTATACGTTTCAAAATCGTATATACTTGCGACCTCTAGTAATGATCCTTTTTTGAAATTAGAAAGATTTCGCAAATGATTTAATAAAGTTTGAGTATTTTTACGAATTAAAAGACGAAAAGCACGTAGATAATCCATCACGTAAAATTTTACCATCATATTATGTCGTATCTATAAATACAGAGTGCATTTAATCAAAATATTCCTTTTAAATAGCATAAATTTGAAAAAAAAAGAATTTTATACGGAAACCGCAGTGGTTGCTAAAATTGAAAATGTACGTTTCTTTTGGTTTCTGGAAATGGAGCAGCTAAAGGGTTCAATCAATTTGATTTATTGCTACGATTTTTATCGCGCTGTCTGCGTGATTTATGACTGATGATTAGGTTTATGTTAAAGTTGTTGAGTTCACCGTCGGATTTAATATAACAAACCATTACGCTAGAACGATATGCAACTTTCATTGAAGAGGCATTGAAAAAATTAAAAAATTACGCACTTATCAATGACATTGATCTATGTCACGTCACGTTATACAAATAAATCTCTTTTCAATTTTTTTGTAGTATTTGATATATTTTAAAACGTATTTTAATTATAGCTTCAAACTTTTAAACTTTACTCTACACTGGAGTTTATATAACTGAAGCTTATAAATACATTAACGTAGACTAATGATAAAACTTGCATACAATGCTCGAGGAAAGAAACTTCAATTATGGTAGGAGAAGTCACGGTATCGAGTTAAAAAGTGTTTTCTGTTTAACCAAGGTGAAACAAATATATTGAGTTTTATATATAATTGAGAAACAAAATATAAAATGATATTTATAATAATTACTGAACGTCGCAAACTTTGGTATTTCAGATTGGCCCCAAAGTTTTGTAAGAATGATTGTTATCTTGACATTAATATTTATGACTTGATCAGGATGTTACATATCGGAATAACTTAATCAATTATGATATAATTTGTGACATCAAAGGGAAATTAATTCTACGGGAAAATAAACAAAAGTACTTGATCAAACTTTTGTTTAAATGAAATTTTCAAAAAAATCAAAACATTATTTATTAAAAAATTGCTTTGATTCAAAGCAATTGAGGAAAAGATTGAATAATTTTTACGTTAAGTAACCTATTGGCTGAGGATATTTTTAATACATAAAAGTATATTTCTCACTGTCTAAATAAGTAAAAGATACGTTACGTTAAATATTCAACAATTCTTACGTTAGATTAACATTTTTTATATTTATAACAAGTAAGATTTATTATTTTAAACAAATATTCAAGGATTTAAGAATATCATATTTTTTCTGCAACTTTGTAATGCAAAATGTTCCTTAATCGATATTAAAAATTTATATTTTAGAATTATATATGTATCAACTTTTATATCGATCATATTGTATGTGAATCGTTCAAATTCATCAACTATGTATATACATATTGTCAGTATCTTTTTTTAATTTCTTCCATCTTGTCATTGCAATAAAAAAAAAATCTAGGGTTTTTATGTTACTTGTTTAATATTTATTTTTCGAGAATCGTTCGCGAAATCGTTATATACACAACCGTAAATGGAATGTTTTTACATATAAAGTCAAATTTAAAAGGAAAAATAAAATTTAAGGCTTTGTTTCTGAATTTGAAATTATTATCGAGTACACTTGACACAAAGTTTCATTCTACGTGTGGAAACAAATAGAAAAATATTTTTTAATATTTAGAAAGAAAACAGAGTTTAAATATTTCTGACAAAAATCGAGTTTGAACAAGTTGAACATAATGTTTGAAATTTAATTTTCTTCCGAACGAAACTTTAGGCAAAAAGAAATTTTATTCTTTTTCTTTCGACTCGTCTTTTCATCAGCTCTTTCTGGTTACGTCGCGCAATTTCGTAATCATCCTGTACAACCTAAATTCAAATTCACTCGACATTTTCAATTAATTACCCTTTCAATGTGTGTAATTCGTTGAAAGAGAGACCAAAAAAAAAAAAAAGGAGGATCGAAGAAAAGTAGAGGTTGCAACAGTTGCGTTCAATTTCGCGAGATCAGCTACGTAGAAACGTTTAAAACCACTGAGTAATTTAACGAGACGATTCAGTGAAATGGCCGCGGCGTGCGGCTCTTCTGGCCAGTTGCGATGAGTCAGTCGGTAGCGCGCTATTATACTTGACTTGGGATTATTCAGTATGTATTCGGTATTCTGGCAATGTGCAACGAGCGTGAAATTCCGCAGGGCGTAACTCCTCTCACGAAGACTCGTCCCACGAATTGACGCCGTCCGAGTGGTCCGACTGGTCCGAGGAAGGGAATCTGCCGTCGGGTTGTCGCGGCATCGTCAACCCTAACTATCCCGGTTTTCAACACCTGGCACCTTCTCTTCTCTCGGATACTGATCTGACGGAGGACGAGCACGAGCACGAGCACGAGCACGAGCACGAGAGCTGTCCCGATTACATCCGATTGAACGACATCGACGCGAGACCGATCGACTCGGCTGAGAACGACAACGAGTGCAACAACAACGTCGAGGACAGCATCAATCACTTGTGCGGCCAGAAGAACGAGAGGAAGATCTTTTACGAGAAGCCAAAGTTCAACATACAGGTGAATAATTTGCTTTCGATCGGAATGCGCGTTGACCGAGGAAGTTGATGGAACAGAGAGAACAAAGTTTCGAGAATCATTTTAGCCATTTCTCATTGCCAGTATGAACGGATGAAGCTGTGACAATATTTCTGTAGAGCCTACGACAACTTGAGAAATGTGATTAATACAAATTATGAAAATTTGGACCACGCCACTATGATTCTCGGCACTTTGTACATCAGCAGTCGCTGTTAAAAATATATTAACGTAACGTGCAAGTAAACTGCAATTTACATTTTGACGAACGTAATTCGAGAAATCAGTTCCAAATGGAAATTTGTCATTTTTCATATATATATATATATATATTTTTTTATACGTGACGTGAATTTTCTAGATTTTTGGAACCCTGAGATTCCGAAAAGTGCATATAAAATCCATAGTCTATTTACGATACTATCTGCTAACGTTTTTATGTAGCTGTTCTACATTTGTTTGCAGTCCAAGATGTGAGACCGAACTTTTGAAATTGCAAAAGTTTCTTATTTGCCAGTTGACGATAACTAGTCCGATAATTCAAAACTTTCCTTCTCTGTCGCTAATAATTTTGGATCGTTAAATCTTCCTCGAGTCGTTGATGTTTTTTAAACATTTGCGAGGCTATAAATAGATTGGGAAATAACGACATCGAGATGTTTTTTTATAATACATGTCAAATTTTTTAATGGATCTGCAATCTCGCTGTTGAAAGTTCCATGTATATTGACTGTCCTACTTTGACCGCCTGCATGCATGCACGTATTGCACACCTACTACTAGAACCGGCTCTGATTAATGTGAAAAAGAGTACGGTAAGGGAAGACTACAATGTGTCAAGCGACACACGTATACTCTTTTCACATTGTGCCATGCAATATCTAAAAAGTAAAATCTTTGGTCCAAATTTGTCACTTCAGGATTTTATTTTCGATCGCTGGAACCGAAAATTATTATAATTTACGCGTACCTGTTTCAAATTCAAATATATGTAGCAAATTTTCAAACTTGAGTTTCTAGAAAACCCAAGTCTCGGTAACGAAAAAAATTTTATTCTCTGCTTCTATTCTTATTTTCTCACAAGGAATCCATTCTCCCATTCCGTAATTATGTAATTCTTACACGTCGAAAAGGAAAAAGAGAATCAAATGCTTAGATTGTTCGAAAGTTGTTGAGATAAAAAAAAATTACAGGCAAACGTAATTGAAATGAAATGTCGACAATGGGAAAAAATTGATCGTTGCAGTTAGAGAATAGTTGGAAAAGTTTAAACATATTATTGATTTGAAATAAAAGTTACTTGACCATAAAAGTATAGTTGAAAGAAAAAGTATGTAAAAGCATATTTTTGGGGGCAAATAACAAATTAATAAGGATAAAATAAGAATTTTTGAGGTAACGAATGAAACGAAGCTACGAAATAATAACTAGATGAGTATAGAGGTATGACTAGCTTGAAATTGAAAACAAGATTCGGAGCTAATAATGATTAAGCAGATTCATGCGTTCCAAATTTAGCTCTAGCTTTCATTTACGTGCCGCTTTTGTCTCGCAGACTGGACAAAAATATGTACGTTCCAACGATGGAATGCTCCATCATCCTCTAATTTCCGTCACTTTTAATTTCGAGTTTAATCACAACCTGCAATTAAGAGACAATATTGACATTCTTCCTTTAAATGTATCATGCGACGTTTATTCATACTTGTTATTCATTCGAATGAATGTAAGAAATTTGCCTTTATTCTTCAAAATAAATGTTACTATATCATAATGTTGACAGCAACATAACATTCTCTCGCTACTAATGTAATTTTAGAGTGATCGAACTATACAACAATCGTTATTTAATTAAAAATATTTAATCAAAGATGAGTGAGAAATAGATAGATATTCAAGGATTTATATTTTAACGTGCCTACAAAAAATTTGTGCCAACTTTCGAAATCTACTTGTATTTGTTAAAATACACTTATATTTTTCTCAGTAAGAATAATTTCGCACAGATCGCCACTTGTGCCACATTTTTTAAACGGTTTATAAAAATTACTAATTCATGCCAATTTCGTCCATTGTATTTTTACTGAAATAGCGACTTTTGAATAATTTAAGTAAATTGATGAATAAATTATGTGTAATTTTGTGTAACGCTCTATTTCATACAAAGATTTATTCAAGAATTTTCTCATTGCAATTAATATTCATGAAATACGTAAACGATAAGAATTATCAGTGCATTTTGAGACACAAGTACAAGTAATTTGTACAACATATTTATTTACAAAAGATTCTTCTCTTCGTCATTTGATTTTATTTTAAATTTTTAAAATAATTGTGGTAAGTAAATTGAGAATAGGATGAGAAAACAAATCTCAAGTCGTATCTTTGTATTTTGCTGTTGTGACGGAGCACCTGCTTGCGTAAAGTCAGCTTCCACTTCCGTTTGTGAATAATTTTGATGGACAAGTGCAAAGTTAGAATTATTCTTTAAAATGAAAGGCTCACGTGTAATTGTGATTAATTCGAGCATCGTTTTTCTTTTCTGAAAAAAGCGACTAGTGCCACTTTCTAATGCACACGGCTCGTAAACAATGCTACGCTGTCACGGTACGGTTACGTAATCTAGCTGCATGTGACTACGTGAAGTTGGCCGACGTTGACGAAAGGGTTAAACGGGAATCGACGCTGCTTTCAGACTGTCACATCTCTGTACGAGTCGGTGGTGCCGCCATCGGAGAAATGCATAAACTACGTGAAAAGCGTTGAAGACTCGAGGACAGAGGAAAAGATCCTCACGCTGAAATCGGATATCGTGAACAGCGTGGTCGAGGCGGAGACGCATCTGACAGTGTTGGAGCCAGAAGAGGCGGTTGCCGACACGGTCGCCGAGAACACTGCCACGGAATTGTCGGAAGCGGTGTTGCAAAAGAAACAGGAACGAGAGATCCCCGTCGAGGTCGAGATCGTTGAACTGACCACCAGTGTCAAAGAGACCCTCCAGTTTCCGGAGATCGAGGAAATACCAGACTCGGGGAAAACTAGCGAGATCGGCGAGGTGAGTTTCCATTTTTTCTGTTTTCTTTTCTTTTTTTTTTTTTATTCATTTTCGATCGTGCAGCGTTGGACGGTTTTTTAATTTGTAATCGATCATTAAATGTAATCGTTGATCGATCGATCGATCGATCGATCGTTGTCCACGTAATAATCACAAATAACTTCTGCAACTTATAATTGCTGATTTTATATTATTTTTATATTATTTTTATTTATTTTTATATTATTATTATTTAGTTTTATATTATTTTATATTATAATTTTATATAATTTATAATCATCAATCATTAATGTTACTAGGATTAGGAGGATTTTATTAGTAACTTGTATTTTTGTATTACGTCAATAGTTGTACAACGTAGGATTATGAATACATTCGAAAAATGCTTATTTAATATTCTCTTAACTGTCTAATAAAATTTTTGACGTGATTGAAAGATACATGATTCTTTTAAATGCTAAAATAACTCTTTATACTTGATTAAAAATGTATAATAAAACGTATTTTAACGAGTACCTTTTTAATAATTGCGTCGTAAACACTTGTAAATTTCGCTCGAAAGAACACTTTTATTTTTAACATTTATAATAATAATAATAATATAATGATACGTGGAATCCTATTTACACTATACACTGATCGACTTGGCTCTATAAAAAAATATTAAACAACTTGTGCCGAAAAGCCATTAGTTCAGGAAATATTTTAACTGAAATATTGCATTACGATACTTGTTCAAAGTCGAATTTCTTTCCTCAATTTAACTGAACGCGGGCATGTACGTACATATGTAAAACACAGATACATATTAACGTATTTAACAGAGTTCACACTATATGTATTTTCTGGTTTTAAAACAGCATCAATCTGTCGATGTAATCGTCGTATGTAATATCGTTACGTTACGATACCATTGATAAAAATTACATTATATGATAGAGTATAATGAAAAAAAAAAAAAAAAAGTATTCACATACACAGCAAAGATGAAAATTGTTCATTTTACAAATTTTGTTTCAATGTCGTATTATTATTAGCTCGAAAAGTCTCAATACTACGTGATGGCGTACATGCATACGTTATTGTATATTGTGTCAGTATATTATTATCATCGTCTTAATACATAAACATCTACGTGCTTGTAAAGTTATGTGTAATATTATTACAGTGGGATTTGCAATTAATGGGATCTCGATTGTCCGTGTTTCTACCTAAAACGAAAAAAAGGAAGCGATTAAGCAACAATGGTTGTCTGTCCTCAGACGGAGGACATCACGGTGGTGGAGCACATCGACCTGATACGCGAGGCAAAGGAGTTGCCTCACCAAGCCCGTTCCAAAATAGGCAACCGTCAGACGGTGACGTCGAGCGGCTTCGCCGACGACGACGACTCGGGGAGCAACACCGACACAGACAGTTATCCGGAGGAGCAGCCCACCTACACCAAGCTCGAGGAGATTGATCTGCTCTCGAGCATCGGCCGTGACATCGGGGTCGATCTCGAGAAGTACGTGCAACCGGTACCGGACGTGGTCGCCATGGAGGCTCTCGATCACATTCACGCGTCCTCGCGGTCCTCCGCCTCCATCAACATGAACATGAACATGAACATGAACATGAACATGAACATAAACAATATGATGAAGGACGCCATCGAGGACACGAACAAGCTGTTGGACCGCGACCTTCCGGAAGCGTCGAGCGCCGATACCAAAAAGAAGGAGAAGATGGCCAGGAATCAGGCGAAACGTAGACAGCAGCAACAGCAGCAACAGCAGCAACAGTTGCATCACTTAAGAACGGCGAATCCACAAAGACGTCCGGACAAGAGAAGGGCTGACGCGGACAATGGGCCAGGTACATACTTTTTATACTTTATAAATTGTATTAGGCAAACGGTAAGCTAGGCTGCAGGTTTGTTCGCGTACGAATGAAAGGGGAATTTTTCGCGAGGGAAGCGAAAGAATTATCATCGTCATTCGTTTAAATGATAATAATTGAAACAAATAGAAATCTTGATTAAAAAAAAAAATAATAATAATAATAATAATCGCATCTTCTCGGCAATTGTAAAAACGAAAAAACTCATATTTATGAGTTTGGTAACTGGTGGTGTTTAAATATTCGCGGTCATCGGACGACCACGTGACCGAGCACTCTCGACTGCGTTCGATTGCAGAGGCAAATTCAAACTGTTGCAACAACATTTTATTTTCTCTCCTTAAGTTTTATCAGAGATATTTATAATCTGTTCGAAACCGCTTTCTTCATCAATTTTTTCGGCAACGCCTACAGCGTTAAAATTTCTCCTTTGTGTCATTAGATAAAGAAAGGTATGGAGAAAAGATAATTTAAGCCATGCGAATATCCTTTTGTTGTTAAAATTATCGGTTTAATCATTGTAACGTTGTAATTACTTTGATATTATTGCTAAATTTTTTTTTCACAGATTAGAAGATTTTGATAAGAATAAATATGTTTATATGACAGAAATCGCTTTAATGGATTTTAATGAAGCTCTAAGTGAAACATTACTACCACAGTAATAAATATTTTCCTCGCGTATTGCAACAAGCATTGTTAAGCTTATTTAATAATAGAAATTTTAACAGTGGCAGGAATTACGTATTTAATATTACAACTATCGAGGTAACTTTATAGATGTAAAGCAGTAGTTTTTAGATATTCAAATCATTTTTCGTAAAATGCATAAATAAAAGTGTACTCCACCATATTTTTTTAAGTTTTTTTTACTCTTTTTTACTTTAATGTCGCTGACGAAAGTTTTATACTTTAATCGTCGTGTTGATAGTTTTAGTGTCAAGATGCTCGCGTCAACTAAAACTTTGAAGATATATAGTCCCTGTATGTATTTTTGCTCTCGTTAAAGCTCTATTGCTAAAATTAAAGCAACATATTCATTTCTGCCACCTGTACGCTTTACGCCATGTGTGATTGCGGTTAATATGCAGTTGCTTAGGAGAAGTGAAATTTTACGGCGAAAGAGCACGGAGAACAATGCAACGTGCTACGTGCGAACTCGCCTCGATTTTCTTACACGCAGCCACAAAGAAAGACCTTAAAAGGAAAAAAAAAAGAAAGTAATGTAATCACGGTCAAATTTACTGCTAATCTTTCACGTATCGCGCAGGAAGTTCTGCACGATTAGCGTAATCGGTACAAGACTAAAAACACTTCCAAATATGCATATCTATCATACGCGACGCGTCCCTTTCACCGCTGCTCGTTTATGCTTCTTCTTCCCAAGTATTCTTCCCAAGTGTACACTTGTCGTGCTTCTTCGAGTTTCAAAGGTGTATACAAGTAAAACGTGTAATATATGTGAAGAAGAAGATAATCATGATTTAACAAGGACGTAGAAAGTTGCGAAATAAAAATTCGCTATTTTTTCAATTCAGCTTGCGCAAAGCATTTGGACGATACTTGTCTAATAAATCTAAAGAAAACGAAAGCTCCAATTGCACGCGTATTATAACTGTAGATAATAAAAGTAAAAATAGAATAGTTTTATAACGTGTGATGAAGAGAGCAGTTGGCGTGTGACAATTTGTTGATTAATTTCAGTTATCACATAATACTGAATATTCAGTTTGAAAATTGTAATATCTTTTGTGATATTATTCTTTCCATGGAAGGCGGCTTCGACGTCTATAACATCGAAACAGCGATGCCGAAAATCGATCTGGATGCAATCGAATCTCACCTGAGAGCAGCACGCGAAGAAGAACGACGGGTGAGTGAATATTCTTTTCCACAATATTCGAAATAATTGGGAGACGAACAAATCCAGAGGATGAAAGATTGTCCGCATTTGAAACTGTTGTAACTTGATAAGAAACAACGTGGTACAATAATCCAATTGACAATCTCTAATTTTAAAATGGGAAGCCTCTGCTCTGATCAGTCCTATGTTCGCCTTTTTTGTGAATGTTTTCATATCATTAGGGTAATTGTCGATGAGTGATCAATTTTGCATTCGTTGGAATATTACTTTTCTGTTGACTAAAACTGCCCTTTTTGCCAACAATTTGGAATGCAATCGTTGTAATTGTTGGCGATACAAGTCTGCAGTAGTGCAAGTGCTTATCCAGGTTTCGATAACTCGAAGTGAACTATATCACTACAATGATCCCACCAAACATACGATAAAACCTTTCTCAGGGATAAGCTTGATTTTGATGTTTGGTTTTAACCTCTTGCGCTAGAATGACGTGTCACGCACATCGAGAATTTTTTGCAATATTTTCTCAGTTTTTTAAGTGTATTTAAGTATAACCCAGGCAAAGCGAATGTTAAATTTATTACTTCTCAGTCTATCCAACGATATCATACCGACGAATTCAAAAAGAAAGCGACGAATCGTTGTATACGGTTTGGTCGCTCGTTATGGTCCGCAATCATTTGTCAGCGCAAGTTAACCTCTTGCGCTGGAATGACGTGCCACGCACGTCGGGAATTTTTTGTCCCCAAAATTGCAATATTTTCTCAGTTTCAAGTATATTTAGGTATAACCCAGACAAAGCAAATAATAAATTTATCACTTGTCAATAATTTCTACCCAGCGATATCGTACCGGCGAGTTCGAAAAGAAAGTGACGAATTGTTGGTCACTCGTTATGGTCCGCAATCAGTTGCCAGCGCAAATGGTTAATCGTGCCAATTAATTCTCGCGGAACCAAAGTGGAAGATAAAGGTTCACCAGGTTTTGTTTGGAAATGTCGAGGACTCCATGTCGACTTTCTATGACAAATGGAGACTCGTTTAACCTGGTTGATCGGTAGGGGAAGCAATTGGCAAACAATCGGCGAAAGAGAGGAGTTTTTTTCACTCGTGCGTCAGCTGCCAAAGAGAAGAAAACATATCGCGGATAATTTTCGACGATGTGTGTGTGTGTGTGTGTGTGTATGTTTTTCGCGCAAGCATTTTTCGGAGCATTATCGACGCGGAAAATGAGGTCGATGAGGCTTACGACCTCGTTTCGGGGTCCTGACAGCGAGAGTCTCGTTAAATGCACAGACGATCTATCTGTATTCGCCAGAGCAGTGTCCATTGTATGGAAATGGAGGAGCCGGAAACGGACGTTGCCGCCGAAAGGATCAATGCGAGCCGTTAGATAGAGCGTGACACAATTCGTCGCGTCAGATTTTCGAGTAACCCTTAACTGCGTGCAGTGAGAATAATAAGCGTGTATTAATCTCTTTTTCTTTAAAGTAAAGTAGGTTAAAGATTTCTTTTAAAGTAAAGTAGAATCAAAGTAATTTCACGATGAATACGTGTTCTCAATGATTATTTCAGAATTGAAAAATCTAGGCCGCTCTAGTTTCTTCGTTCGCACATTTCCTCCAAAATAATTTGCAAATTAAAAGATCGCTTGAATGGGATAAAAAGTATGTTTAACTCTCCCCAAGTGCTAAATTTATGTTTATGAAAACTGTCGAAATTTAAAAAACACTCTGAAAATTCTGTCCCAACTATTTTTGAGTTTTAAAATTGATAATTGTAATAAATTCAGAATCTGTTTGTGAAAAATTGTGTAGAAATAATTACTTGATTGATTAAATACTTAAATGATGGAGTAATTACTTAAATAATTAAAGATGTGATATTTTGAAGAAATTTGACGCCCATGATCAAGGTTATTATATGTATTTGAAAAATAACATTTCATTATTCTATTTTCTTTGAACAATATTATATTAAACAATGTTATCAATATTTAAAGAATATGATTTGGAATTGGCCTGCAAGCATCGATAAATATCCTTAAAGAAATGTTACACTCATACTTCATGGTAAAATGAATTTATTACGATTATCATCATAATCCAATACATGAAGAAGAATTTTCTTTTTGTGTGTGAAGCAATTTTGGAGAAAAAAACGCAACCAATTCTCTAACACGCTCAGATAACTTGTATCATGGCAGATCAAGAACTAAACTATCCGTAGGTCAAAAGACTCGCATGAGCAGTCAAGTGAAACACCTTACACACGATCTGTGTAGGGAGATGGCATCCTCAGAGCAATGATCCTCTAAAAATTTCTTCCCAAAGAGCGACTATTTTCACAAATAGAATGTCTCGTAGAATTCTCCATTTGTACGAACTCTATTTATTCGAAGCCAGTAGAAATTTACAGTCAGTACCCGAGTGAATGAACTCTTGAATTGAATACAGTTAGGTAATTAGGTTGTGTGATAAGTTCGTTTGCATCATCACTGATGAAATTAACCTGTATTATATTGAAAATTGATCATTTTTTACAAGTGAATCAAGTTTAACTTTGAAAGTCTCTTCTTTTTTATCAAAAAATTGCATCTCATATAATGCGTATTTTCTTTGAATTGTATAATTATTTCTTTGAATTGTAATTATAATTACCTGTAAAGAACAATTTTCTTGTTCCTGTTGAAATGATTAACATTCCAATGTTAATATTACAGTAAATATTCATCATAATCCAAATATTTCCCATCATAATAAACGATTCTTTTCATATTTTAAATATTATACATTATATCTTTAATTTCTTATTGCATTTGAAATATAATCATAAGAGCAACATTTATCTATACTTTGTGTTCTTTTATTCAATGTGAATGGATTATGTGTATTGTCTACAATACATACTTTTAATATCCTCAAAAATGTAACGTTACATTACATTGTGATATACTTTATATGTTATACTATACCATATTACGTTATTATATTACATAATTATATTAGTATATATTAATTAATACATATTACATCATATTGCATTAAATTAAAAATAATAATAATAATGTCTTACATTGTTACTTTTGTTACTTTTTTAAATAAAATTTTACATCTCATATTTTAATAAGTTTCTCTTGCAGTTGTAAAAGACATGTAATAATACACATGTTTATAATATAGTAATTATAATATAGTAATTATATAAAAATTAATATAATAAGTTATATAGTTAAAATTAAGTTAATATAATATAGTAATTATATAAAAATTAACACAACACAGCAATAACAATGGTTATGATACAATATATTGTACGTAATTGTACGTAATCCCTGGCAAAAGGTTGTCTCAATCATACCGAATAATACAAAATTGTTTGGAAACATTTGAATTTTAAAATTATAAAGTGTTATTTTATATCATTGAAACTAATTGGAGGATAGTAGATTAGAGTAGTTAATTAGACAGTTATTATTTATTATTATAGAAAAAAAAAAAAAACTAACAAAGAAAATCTAGAGAAAGTTCCCGATCAAACGTTTTGAATGTTTGAAGCATTTTTAAAGAAATAACGTATCATTAATAACGTGTTGTACTCTCTCGTGATCTTGGTGACGTTTTCCACACGTTGCTGAAGAAATTAAATTTTTCCAATCCGCGGCAGAAATTTCTTCCCAAGATAACCTTTGTCTTTTCGCAGTTTATTTTTATTTATTTCACCATGTACATAAATTTTCTGTCTTTTCATTCTTCTATACAACACGATGTAACGTAATACAATGTAATATAGTGGTTTGATATAGCCAAAAAATGGCTTGTTGTTGGTACGAGAAATTCCCAGCAGTAAATATTTTCTGTCGGGGAATGACAGAGGCACCGCACTGCACTTGCTGCAACTCTGAAACTTTGAAACAATGTTGCTGAAACTAATGGAAGAGAAACAAGTGCGAAGCTGTTTCGTTGTTGCAGTGGCGGATAAACGAGCGGAGGCAGGCTTGCTTCGGGCTCGCGCCGCGTCCAACGAGCCCGAAGCACTTTCACCAAACGCTAAAAAGCCGAGCTAGACCAAGACCAGTCTCCATAGACGGTTAATAGCCAATCCATGGCTCCGCCACCTCCTTCGAGCAAACTTCACCGGGAGATCGCGATCGGTTTGCCGCTCACTTGACTCACTTTATGCCAGTGCCCGTGTTGTTCTCGTCTCGAGCGAGTCCCATCGCGTACAAGCAAAGCTTCTCTGTCTCTCCATGTTTTCGTTCTGTGTGTCATCGGCGCTGCAGGAAGCTGCGAGAAGCGAACTCTCGGTGTCGCCGGTGAATCGCTGATTCGATTAGAAATTCGATTAGCCGCCACTCGGGCTCGATTAGCTTTGTCTCCGTCAAGCAGTTATTTGTGAAATTTGCTAATTTTCAGTAACGTTCGGACTATTTTACGTTGCTTCGGAGGATGAACGACGACGACGACAGTGCGTAGATTCGATTCCTTCCGGAGATGCAAACCTCATTCATTATTTACGAAACGACGTTTCGCTAGCGACGCGTCGTGTACCTTATCAGGGTCAGAGGAAATGTATATATTTGATATTCTCTCGGAAGCTAGAATCACAGTCCTCGAGAATTTCGTGCTTCCTTTTCGTTTGGCAACTATTTATTTGCTAGATTTAGAGACAATTTGAAACAGTGCGTTCTCTCGGAGAAATTTTCTTGTTTTCTTATTTCAAAGACACAACGATAAAAAAACTATTTATTTATTTATTTATTTATTATTTTCTACAGTAAAAAAATCTTCTACGCTTGGTTTTCTTGCAATATCTTCGTAAAAACAAGCGAAATTTGTTTCCATAGACACAAAAGTAACGTGCATAGTGGCAATTTTTGATAATGAGTTGTACGATAATAATGCGAGTAATGTGAAAATTTGAATATCAAAAGATTATTGACACACGAGGTGTTTCGTTTGCAGCTCTACCATGCATTTGAACGGAATATAAGTTATTCTTGATGGTTTAACC